TTTAAAAATTCTTTAATTATTGATTGAAACCACAAATCTTATGAAATTTGATTGAAATTAGTCAATAATTTCAATTTGTACATCCTTCTTTAATCTTTCTTATATAAATGGAAATTGAAATTAAATAAATGGAAATTAAAGACCCCTCAAACCAAATTGATCACATACGTTAGTCAATAAAAACTAACGTAAAAAGAAACAGATAATCCTAATCAAAGTATAATAATAAATTATGGTAAGAATAGAATAAAATAGTAAATGATAATAATATTCTATTTTTTATCATTCCTAACATTCCCTCGTGAACTGATCATCAGTAATGAGTAGTAGCTTATAACGTACACAGGTACTAGAATGGAGCCAGCAAAAATGGTTTTGTGAGGAAAGTCGCTAGAAGTAGTGAGCTAGATCTTCGTTGCATGACGAACGAGTTTCAGAGTATGTTTGCTGGATTTTCTTTTACATGGAGAAATTGACGATTGAAACGAGGACGAGGAGTTTCTTATTTTCTCTTGGTGAGTCATTCTCTGCTTCTCTATCTCTTACCGTGCTCTCGAACTCTAAAAGAAACACATAAAAATGCAATTTTTTAGTTATTCGATCACTCACACAAACTCTTTTTTAGAGAGAAAGAGAGAGGTAAGGAACGGTGACTGTTAGGCACACTCATAATATTTGGGAGAGGAAGAGAGGAATAAGAGATGACGATGCCATGATCTGTGGCGATCCACCGTCGATGATGAAGACCTCCGACAGTGGCGCGCAGTCAAAAGAAAAGAGGTAGATTTTTAAGAAGAGAGCTCTTTGCTCTGATACTATAATACTATTAGATAATAATTTGTTATGTAGAATAATGAGGTTACATGGATATATAATAAAACCTTAACTAAAGTAGAATAAAGAACTATGGTAATAATAGAATAAGGAAAGTAAATAATAATAATGTTCAGTTTTCTAATATCCCTATTATTCCTAATGCTGATGAAGATGATGATGATGATTATTATTATTATTATTATTATTATTATTATTATTATTATTATTATTATTATTATTATTATTATTATAATTTTTATTATTATTATAAATATAATTTTATGAAAAATCCATCTAAATTTTAAAGATTATTTTACACCAAAAAATTCGTGTCAGATTATTACATCAATTCAAATAAAACAATTACGATGTTTCAATCGTAAAATTAAAAGCAATTCAAAATTTGATTGGTGCAACTAGAGGAGTGCGGGAATCATTAGGGACGATCAGGTATGGTGGGGTTAGGTGGTAGAAACAATTAATTTTACAATCTAAACAATGTAGGTAGGTGCTCTAATTGAATTAGTGTAACAATGTTAAACCAATTAATTAGTGTAAGTTCTCCCCTCCCCTCTTTTTATATCATTGTTAGTTGTTACTCCCTATAAAAAGTTGGGGTGGAAGTTAGTTTTCCGAACCAAAAGAAAATGTTTAAAATTCATGAATCACGACACGCACAATTATAAGGGCGGAGAGAGGGGGAGTTTAGGGCATGCAAACTTTCTTTACTTGACAACAATTTATGAAAAAACATATTTGGTCATAGTATAAATTTTATAAAATTGGATTAATTTTAAGATGGAAATTTGGATATATCAAATTGAGAAAAAGAAGAAAATAAGAGTAAAAGAGGGTAAAGCATTGAAAATTAAAAAATTAGGAGTTTTATGTTTTTATTTTTGGAATAGAAATTAAAATGCATTTATATTACCAATTATGACCAAATACATTGCCAAAAAATATAGTAAAATGACATGTACAGTGTCACATTACCACATTACGAACTCTTATTTAGGAAATAAAAACATGAAACTTCTAGTTTAGTACTTTCTCTATATTTTATTCTTATTTAGGGTGATTTTTATTATCAAATACTATTGGAAAAATAGTTGAAAAATGATTAGATGAGGTATTGGTGTAACTTTTCAAATCCACGAAAAGTTTAGAGATAAAAATCGAAAACAAGGGAATATTGATACATATTTTCCCAACTAGAAGGAATTCCGGTGTTATTTGTCCATAGTTAGTTTGATAATTAAAAAAATTACCTAAATAGTACTAAATTATAATGACTTTCTCAATATAGTATCATATATTTTTATTTCCCAATGTAACTGGTCATTGATCAAGTAAGGGAGAAAGACCAAAGTAGGACCAAAACATTGAAAATATACCAAAATAGAACTTCTATGTTTTTATATTCTAGAAATAGGACTTATAATGCACTTACATTACCAAATATGGTCATGTACATTATCAAAAAGTATAGCAATGTGTACATGTACAGTGCCACATTACAACCACATTACCACAATGTGAAGTCATATTTCGGGAGAAAAAACATGAAAGTTCTATTTTGATATTTTTCTTTATGTTATAGTCTATTTAGGGTGATTTCTATTCAAGTAAATATCCACCGTCATTGAACATTGTTCAAACTAAATGCCCACCATCACTAGACATTGATTACGTCACTAGACATTATAATACTATTTAGAAAATAAAAAATTAAGTACCACATTAAAAAATGACATATATTATACTACTCCGTTTAGTACCAATTTCACCTTTAAAAAAAGGAAAACTTGGAAATTTCATGGATAAGAGGAGTCGTAAAGAAACATTGAGGCCATGCATCCCGCCTGGATTGCTCGATGAGGATGATTTGCTCGTTAGAGCCAGCTCCGTTTCTTCACTCACCTTCAGCATTGAGAATGTCAACCACATTGATCTCGCCTCTTTCCTTTGGCTTCTCATCCTCAGCTGGTCAGGTATGATCCTCTCCTTTACGCATCTATGGATGATCCAATGAATTGATCGATATAACTGCGGTTGTGGTGCGTGGAATGACCTCGAACAGGAGAGGAAACCGAAATTCGCAAATCCGTCTGCGAAACCCAGGCGCCTCTTCAATTCAAAGCCGCAATTGTCTCTGATCCGAGCTTCTACTGAGTCTTCCGCTTCACTGGACACTGGTTGTTGTGGACCTTTTTTTTTTTTTAATATTTACATTTGGGTTTATTTTACTTGGGATGGGATGGACGGAGTGATGTTTTCCGGTGATCGATCCAGGTTTGACTACTGAATTGGATGCTGTTGCGAGTTACAGTGAGATCGTTCCTGATACAGTAGTTTTCGATGATTTCGAGAAGTAATTTCCACTCTGTGATCACAGCTTGTTCTTTTAGGAATTTAGTTATTGCTGTTTAGAAATTAGGGTTTTTGAATTTAATACGGAGTGATTTATTAGTTAATCTCATGTTGGGTTACAATGTGCTCTGCGTAAACTTGCATTTTCAGATTCCCACCCACAGCTGCCACTGTTAGCTCGTCTCTGCTCTTGGGTATCTGTAGCCTTCCTGATACCAAATTTAAGGTGCCATTCTTCTGATGCAAACGATTGCCCAAGCACTTGCGATTATTTTTGTTTTATTGCACCAAATTCAAGAACTAGCCTTCTTATATATGTTAGCTAATACATTCCTGAGATGAAAGTTTTGAAATTTGATGCAGAGTGCTGTGGACACTGCTTTAGCAGATCCTGAGTGTTATGGGCTGGAGGACAAGGATGCCCAGATGTCATGTTTCTTTAACAAGGTTAGTTGGAATCTTTGCAAATGTATAACTGATTAGTTCATTACCGTATATCTTGGCTCTGGGCGGTATGTTTTAATGTAATGTTTACAAATATAGGCTTTGGTAAACGTTGGTGCTGATCTTGCACATTTTGTGCCGGGTCGAGTTTCTACTGAAGTTGATGCCCGTCTTGCATATGACACACGTGGCATTGTTAGAAAGGTAAAGTTTTCTTTCGAATCTTATATTTGCAGTTGGGAGGCTCATTTCTTCATGGTCACCCTACGATTTGGACTTTACATGGAGTTAGTTTCCTTGTGGAATGGGACTGGAGAATATGAAATTCACATACTCAAGGAGCAGAGTATAGCAAAGTTTTGTTCCAGCCAAGCAGTAAAGCATAGCAGTTGAGAGGTTATTATTTGATGTGGAACTGTAGTTTACCTGAGCTCTTAACATTTTGGCATGGACATACGAAACCGTATCTACACCAACATTCACATGGGTTTTCTTTTTAAATAAATTTTATTTTAATTTTTTTGAATTTTTTTATCTCATTTTTTAATGGTAGTTCTATTTCCTTTTTATTTTATCTTTATCCTACACAAATTCTTTCTGTTCTTATTGCTTTTTCAGAGATAGACTTGTAATTCACTAATTTGTTCATTATAAATCTTTTCAAGGAAGTGTTGAGTGTCATTAATGAGCAAACTAGAGGGGTTACTTATATTTTAGGTGAACTAGAGTCTAGAGAAGATTTTTATAACTCCAAATCCAACCGTGAAATTATTATATTTGTTTGATTTCAGGTACACAACCTATTGAAGTTGTACAACAGGATTGAAATTCCTCCGGAGCGGTTGCTATTTAAAATCCCTGCAACTTGGCAAGTACGTAACAAACTGAGTATTTATGCATCACTTTGCTGGAGACAATGGTATGAATACAATATGTGTTGCTCACATGAGGTCTTGTACTTCTTTCTTTCTTTCTTTGTTTTAGGGGATTGAGGCATCAAGGTTGCTGGAAGCTGAAGGCATACAGACACACTTGACTTTTGTGTACAGGTATGTAAAGTAGCCTCTTATCCGACTTCCAAAGATTCCACGTTATTGATTACAATAAACTCCACCCGTTCCACAAAAAGGTTCCACAATGGAATCGGTACGGTTATTAAGAAAATGAATTTGTATGGTTGAAAGTGGTGCAAAGGAGAGATATTTCACATGAGCTAGGCTATAGTTCTAAGTGCCTGTACAATAATTAAATTGCAATATCATGGTGTAAGAGTTGCAACCATTTGAGAATAGCTCTTGAGATTGGGTGTGTGAGTGGTATATCCTGAGGTCTCTGGTTTGGTTCTTATGTACTGAAAAAATAGCATGGAAGTTAAAAAGAAGTTTTAATGAGAGAGCAGAATATTGTGTGGGAGAACTTCATTTTTGTCCACTGACTGTGAGCGTAGTGCTACTTTTGATTTAAAAATCATAGAACAATTTCTATAGTGTGAAATTATATAACTTTCGGAGAAGGGACCATCCTTGTTAACAGAAACCTTCAATTTTGAATGGAGAATTACAATGGAAATATAGAACATATATAAGTACTACTAGTTGCCACCTGATAATCAAAAGCTAGAATTTTTGTCCAACAGGCAAGTATACAACATTACACATTGCTTTTGAACTATATTTCAACTAAAAGTTCAACAAGTATTTAATGAACCCTTCCATGTTACCATTACGTTAATGATGCATAACGTTTAATAGGGAAGATATGTGGTGACTGATGAAGATGTGTATATTAAATTGGATCCATACGATGTCTAGAAAAAATAGTGTACAATGAGACTCAATATGAGTAGGACGTGTAGGTAGCATCTGTTGAAGATGAGGTAAGGGAGAACTGGGTATGTTGTTAAAGCACGTTTTCTGTGGAGTTTTGGAACATTATGTAACCAAAGGATAGCCTTGATTTGTTGAAAATGATAAGGATTGAAGGTGTAAAGAAGACATTACAAGGTTGGAGCTTAAGTAGTACTCCTGTCCCTAGGTTAAAGTCACACTATACATTTTTGACATCCCAAAGTTAAAATGAAACTTCTCACTTTTTTTATGAGGAAAAGAATATGCGATTCAAAGTATTTCTCTTTCTTCTAAACAAATTTTAATCACCAATTTTTTTCTTTTCAACATTTTTCTTAAACTTTTTGATGTCAAAGAGAATTAATCTGGGGATGGAGGCAGTATATGAAACATGAGGTTTTATATTGGTTGATGCACAAGATGTTGTTTAAACTTTAAACACTATGATTTGTTGCTGCAGTTGTGGGCAATATAAGACCCATTGACATATTTTTCCTTTTTCTTCATACTCCCTCTGTCCGGAAATGCTCTTTCCAAATCACATTTTGGACGTCTGAAAATGAACTTCCCATAACCTTTTCTAACATTTGGAATATCACAACTATCCTCACTCTCCTTATTTATTACTCCCCACCATCTCATTTAATACATTCCACCAACTTTCATTAAGTGTAAAATGGAAATTTACATTGTTTTCCAACTCTACTTAAAAAGCATGAAAAGTCAATTTGGGAAGTCCTTTCTTGAACGGATAGAGTAAAAAAGAGTAATAGGTACTACGTGAAAATACTACAAATGATGGATATTGAGATGATTTTAACGCAGAACGTGCATAGTAGAAATAATTCTTGTTAATTATTCCTGGAGACTTTTACCTTCTATAATTCTGTTACGGGTTTGAACAAATCATGGTACGGAGTACTATTTTGGGAAGATAGAACTCACCGTTAGGAATTTACTTAAATTTAATTTTAGCTGGGATTTAAAGCACACCTGCAACACTTGAGATTATTCTTTTCATAATTAATTTTTTGGTAGAAAGATAACACTTTGCACCCGCTTTATATTTTCGACAAAAATTTGTTGAAATAGACTCGTTATATATATTCGAAAATTACATTTACTAAATTTGGTTCAAATTATAAATCTGAAGAGTGCGTCAGTGGCATGACATTTTTTCTTGACGATTCTTGCATTTCTTTGTTTCAGTTTTTGTCAGGCTGCTGCTGCTGCTCAAGCTGGTGCTTCTGTCATTCAGATTTTTGTTGGTCGGCTGAGGGTAAGCCGTAAGCTCTTTCCTCTATATGGAAAGAGTAATTGCATTGTACAACCACATGTACAATTTTCTCGTACATCCATGTGCACCGATGATCAACTTTTTCCTCATTAGTGTAATGACATTGGACTCAGTGAGTAACTCATTTGTGGTAATGTGTAATTGCATTAGTGAGCATATAACTGTATGTTGTTAAATAATTGTAGAGTATCTTCGTACATATGGACATATGGTCGTGGATAGAATTTCTTATATAGATATTCTGTGTTTTGCCAAGTTGGTGTAACTGTACTTGTGTTTGGATGTATCAGGACTGGGCACGAAACCATTCTGGTGACTCTGAAATTGAGGCAGCTCTTAGAAGAGCAGAAGATCCGGGAACTGCTCTGGTCAGATTTCTTCTTTGCATTCATATTAGTTTCTTTTTAAATTTCAGTAAGAGGATTCCCAACTCGTGTAACTTTTACACCAATGTTGTAAAACACACTAGGGGTCGGTGGACTAGACCGTTTATAATGAAACATTCGGCACTTGCACCCCATATTATCCCAAAGATTGGACTCACCATCCCACTCGGGGTGCAACATCAAACAAAAGGTACTTACATACCATTAATGTATGTATATAACGGTTGAAAAGCAGAAATTTTTGTATTTGAACCCCATATTAACCCCAATATTTAACTCTACAGCCCATATATACCTCAAAATTTAACTTTGAACCGCATATTATATTGGGGAATTTACCTATATAGTACTAAAACATGGTGAGTTTTCCAATGCAGTATCATATGTTTTAATTTCCCAATGTACTACCACTATTCAATATTCACTGGACATTGTTCAAGTAAATGTCCACCGCCACTAGACATTGTTCAAGTACTATATAGGGAATAAAAAGTTTTAGGTAATACGTCGGGAAAAGACATATGTTTTAGTACTATTTAGTGCAAATTTCACTATGGCTTTATTGTTGTACAATCGCAGGTGACGAAGGCATATAACTACATACATAAATATGGGCATAAATCAAAGCTGATGGCTGCGGCTATTCGTAACAAGCAGGATGTTTATAGCATATTGGGGTAACTCAAGACTGCCCTTTATCGCCGTTTGGGATATACTTCTTGGGTCCTTAGCAAGATCCTAGTTGTGCTCTTTTTGCTTTCAGGGTCGATTACATTGTTACCCCACTAAAGATATTGCAGTCTCTTAAAGAATCTGTGACTCCCCCAGATGAGAAGTATTCTTTTATAAGAAGGCTATCCCCACAGTCAGCTGCTGCCTATAATTTCACCGAAGAAGAGGTCAGCACTTTCCTAATCTCCCTCGTGGTTTAAATTCATTATTGCTTGAAATCGTATTCATGGGATTAATGCTTGTGGAAATAGTCTAAAATTGTGGACCAATTCGGTAATGGCCTGTTTGACAATGTGGATTTGGATTTCAAATACCCATTTGACTCACATGTTTGGGAATCCAAAAAAAGATGGATTTGGATTTGAGAACAAAGATCAATCACAAATCCATTCACTCTCCCTTGTAATTTGAGATCCAAGAACTTTAGAATTGAAATCCAGGAGTTCAAATGAAATCTTAGTTCCCAAACACTACCTAAAGGTATTGAAGTGTCTCCATAATCTTGCCTTATCTTTTTTTGGAAATTTTTGACCAATGGACCATTAGAAAGTTTACTGTGTGCTATGCACAGGTTGTGACATGGGATCAATATAGCCTCGCCTCAGCTATGGGACCCGCAGCAGTCGAGCTTCTGACTGCTGGAATGGAAGGCTATATCGACCAGACAAAGCGGGTGGAGGAGCTGTTCGGGAAGATATGGCCACCACCAAACGTATGATGATGTTTGAGAATTCAAAAATGCCGTAGTATATAACACCAAGTTTGACATCAAGGTTCACACCAGAGGCTACTTTTTTCGCGCGGATAATGATCAGCGGTGAGTACTTATTGTCTTTGTGACACTGGTGGTGTTATCCTTGGTGTGATTGAGAATTAGTCACGGAGCGGGCAAGGTTCCATTTTAGCAAATGTTTTCGAGTTCGATCATTTTTCGCATTCGAGTTCAAAACCTTGGTTGGATCTGGAGATCAAAGATGGGTCTGTTCACTCTTTGAATTGCCAAGATTAGTTACCAATAAAAAATGTTAAACATATTTACAACTATAATGAGAGGCTTATAACATTTTGTATCCTCTAGCCGGAGTGCTTAGCTAGCAGCGGAATTAATAATAAAAACAGATTTTTGGTGGATTGAAGGTTTAAATATATTTTTTTGTAAAAAGAATTTATTTAGAAAATACCGAGTAATATTTAGAACATATTTTGTTTGTCTTAAAATGATTTACCTTATTCGAATAACAAGCAAAATTTAACAATATTATAACCATATTCTTTTGGGTTAAAAAAATTAACTTTCGACATGTTCCAATTCCTAGTTTTTTTAAACTTTTTCTAGATTTTTCTAACTTTTTTCAATTTTTTTCAACGATTTAAAAATGCTACTTATATATAATGAATATACAATAATGTTATATATTCAAATTTATAACATATCATTTCAAACATAAAAAAAGGATAAATTCTTTTTTTATAATCTAAAATTGGTGATCATCTAATCATTGTCACAGTTTGACTTTTTTGTCAAAATGTGGCACTCTCTGACCACGAATTATAGAAAAAGTATATTTAGTTACATAATTTAAATTTAGTAAAATTGAGTTTATTTTAAAATATGATTTTGAAATATCAAATTTTTATAATATTTCATTATTTTAAATTATATTTAATTCGTGATAAAAAAGTATCATAGTTTGACCAAAAAATTTAAATTGTAATACGTAGTACGGAGTAATATTTTAGGGACAGTGAATTATTTCACAAGCCGTACGTAACTTATTTGATTAATTGTAAATAAAAATCACGTATGCGTACAATATTCTCGCTTGTCTTACTATTAACGGAGTATAATTGATTGGACCTATAGCTACGTTTTAAAAAATCATAATCATCGAATAAATGGTTAGATCCGGAATTAATTACATTTTTATATGTTTATTAAAAAAATTAGATGACTGGGCCATGTGAATTTTTATATTTGCATCCAAACCTCATATCCCATACCATGAAAATCTTAGATCATCTCTTAGATGCACCACACTCCACATGTATGTGTATAAATGTATATATAATATTTCATCCTAATAAGAACGAAATAGGATATTACTCTAGAGTTTGAATAATTGCTATTTTACTATAATTAAGATTCTTTTTATATTCTCTATATATATGAAAAAACTTTCATTATTTAATAAGATCAATTATTATCAAATTGTAGCATAGTATCGAAGTAAAAGCTTTCGAAAACTAACTTTTTTTTAGCGAGCACCACCACTAGTCCTTCTCTCTCCGTCAACGGTTGACCGCCGAAACTATGACCTTGTTGTCTGATGCTCTTGCTTCTCTTCCTTCAGGAGTAAAACTTAAAACTTCTGCTCTAGAATCTTCATAATCTTATTCCTAAAAAACTCACAGATACAAATAAACTACCTTGCATACTCTATATGCTTGAAGTCAATCTTCTCATTGATTGGATCGATGGATCCAAGAAAACTCCACCAAAGATAATCTTGAAAGAAGAGTTTTAACTCTTAATCCTGAATATGCCTCATTGGTTGTTATTGATACTCAAATCCAAGCATGTCCACACAATATTATTAGTCATTTTTACAGTATGGCTGTTCATAAACGTAACATGTTTAGGGTTTCACTACCTCTCCATCCATCTAGGATGCATTAGCATCAAGGTAAAACTCTGCGTTAACACTCAAATTTATTATTAACCCTGAGATGAGTTGCATCCTCTTTGAAAAGGTTCCAAATCTATGCAATGACTCAATATCTCCATGACTTTCCCACGATCCTCGTTGCGCCTTGTGTGAACACACTATCTCATGACCCAAAATCTAGTTCTGCATGATTGTATGAAACATGTTGGTTCTAGCTGTAATTTTGTGCGAAATGAAGTCAATGTAGGTACCATGACTACTCATCATGTTCCTTCTTCTTAGCAATTATCAAACATTTTTTTCAAAATTGCTTTTGCCAACTCCGTTTCATTTTGTGCTTCAAGCTGCCTCTCATTATTATTGATCAGCTTGCGGGGCTAATAAGAAACAAAGTATTATTATTATTATTATTATTATTATTATTATTATTATTATTATTATTATTATTATTATTATTATTATCTACTTCTTTTTTCTAGTCTTACTATAACTATTATTTAACTACTCCCTCCGTTTCACAAAACCCTTCCGATTTTGACTTTGGAGAAAAATAAGGAAAGTGTAATTTTGATTGACTTTCCAATTTTACCCCTGATGTGATAGGAAAAAGTAAGATGTGATAGTTTGGTTATTAGTGAAAAAGTATGATGTGATAGGTAGAGTATGAAAAAGTAAGGGTAAAAGTAGTTTTTTAATAGAAAGTGGAAGTGTTTTGAGGAAAGCAAAAAAGTGAAAGAGGAAGAATTTTGTTAAACGGAGGGAGCATAATTTTTTATTCTTTTTGTATTCCCTATACATAGGATGAAACTTTCATTATTCAATAAGAGAAATTATTATCAAATTATATCATATCCATTTTAAATACTTCATTTTAATTATATTTCATCCATCCTAAAAAACTAAAAGTTTTATTTAATTTTTCTAGGCAAAATTAAAAAACTTTGACTATAAAAATTAAAAATAAATATATTAAATAAAAATGTAAATTATCAAAATATCACATTGAAAATCTTAAAAAGTCAAACGAAGATGAAGTATCATGCTAACTGAACTCCCGGCCAATCTTAAAAAGTTAAATTTTATTTACTTTGTTGGTTCAATTTCATTGTCCATTTGATGAAATAATATTGTCATGTCACATCTAATTCTGTAAAACTCTTTATGTAGTTTTTAAATATTTAGTTTATACAGTATTTTTTAGTTTCTCACCTTTTTTATATAAAATAATTTTAAAATAACTTCAGTTAAATATCATACTCCGTAATACTTATCAAAAAAGTAATTATTGGAAGGAAGGAGTGAATGAAAAGAAACTTATGAGATGGAGAGGTGGTTATTAGTTACTCCGTATAATGCTTGAATTTGCCATGCATGTGCAAAACCAGAATTCAAATCTAACCATGTGGACGTACTCGCTCTCCTACAACAAACAAATTAATGTTTATGGCTATTACTATCTCGTCTCTAAGTATCTATGTTGAGTTTTGATTTTTATGAGTCAATCATTTTTAATCTTTTACCTATAATTAAATAAAATATATATTGTATATTAATTAGATAAAATAATATTTAGAAAATATTTCATATAATAAATCAAATAAAACTATTTTTGTATAAATACCTGATATTATTTTTATTTAATTTGAGATTAAAATTTACTAGTTTTGATTAAAAAAAGTAAAAAATGTACAAATACTCTGGGATGGAGTAATATTTTTAAATCGACGGGTCGTCAAAGTGTTGCATACGCTAAAAGTGCAATGCCATTAGATTGAATTAACATTTACTCCGTACTTTTTACGTTTGGAAAAAATTATTTGATGACAATGTTTAGTTTAATATGGAGTTTTCTTAAAGTTAACTTACATTGTTAAAAAATTATCAAGATGTCATGTACCCCGGCCCGGAGTATAATTACTCCCTTTATCTCACCATATAATTTGTCTCATTTTACCTTTTTCGTCTGTCTTATTATTCATATTTAATTTGTAAATTACAATAACTCTTACTTTATACTCCCTCCGTCCCCGAATGAAATTTCCTTAAGCCTCGTTTGGTATACGGAATTCAAACTATAAAATTGGAATTGAGAATTTCAATTCCAATTCTTCTGTTTGGTAGCACAAAAATTATGTGGATTTGGAATTGGTATTGCAAAAAATGAATTGGAATTGGTGAATTCAATTCTATGGAATTGAATCCCATGGAATTTTAATTCCAATTCCATTAATTCCGTGTACCAAACGGACCCTTACTAACTTTTTGAAAATTAAGGGAGAGATATTTTGATGTAAACTTTCCAAAAATACATTTGATGTGATGGATAAAAGTAAGATGTGATTGATAGATTATTAGTAAAAAGGTATGATGTGATAGGTAGAATATGAAAAAGTAAGGGGTAAAAGTGGTTTTTAAGTAGAAAAGAATATCTTTGTGGGACAAAGAAAAAAATGAAAGAGGAACTTCTTTCAGGGACGGAGGGGGTATATGGCTAGTTCTAGCACATTTTTAAAGTGTTGCAGTCCTGTCGCTGATTTGCAACGGAAGTAAAATTTCGTCCCAGATTTCAAGGGGGCGACGACTTATTTGCGACGGCCCTTCTCCCTAACATGTCTGTAGCAAATTATGAATCTACTACGACCTTTTCAAATCTACGACAGAAGTTGTCTGTAGCAGATCCGGCAGATTCTTGTAGTGTATGTACAACGGTTCTTTTGACACGGATAATTTAGACCTTAGAATGACCGTAGGTACTCCAAAATATCAATGTCATGTAAGGTCACCCGAGGCCAAGGTCAAAAGATCCTTGCCGTACTTTATACTCCCTCCGTCCCATGAAACATGAGAGTTTTGCTTTTTAGGAGGGATTTAAAGGGAGTGTATTTTGATATTGAATTTCCAAAAATGTCCTTTGATGTGATGCATAAAAGTATGATTTGATGAATAGATTATTAGTAAAAGGTATGATGTGATAGTTAGGGTATGAAAAAGTAAGGGGTAAAAATGACTTTTTAATAGAAATGAGAAGTGTTTTGCGGGACGGATAAAAAAAGAAAGGAGAAAGGTTTTATGGAACGGAGAGAGTATAAATTTTTAATATTAATCTCACAAACTGTTTTTCTAGTGAGACGGAGGAATTGTTAGTTGTCATTTAAATTACGTAATTAAATTCTAGTTTAAATTTGGTGAAACTTTCCATTTTTGTTCGTTTGATTCTTGGTTAAAAAAATTGAATTTGCTCGCTTGTTGAATAGAGATCTCGCCAAGTCAAATGAGATCGTTCATGAATAACTGTTATCGAATATTTATTCCATCCCAAAATATTTGCAAAATTTCCTTTTTCAACTAACACGATAATTTTTGTTTATTTG